AGTCACAAGTATTTTTCCAAAGTACAGTACATGTACAAAAAGAAATTGCAACACTAGTCTGACTTGTCAGCCATGTCAGAAGTGCAGTTTAACGCCTCTTTTGACTTAGTTTACATAGAGATTGATTCATTCAGTAGTGACAAACGGTGGTGTACCAATGACCACTGATGTGCTGCTGTGTAGCCTACATGTACATGTACCGGTGCTACTGTACAAGTATACCATACATAAAACTTAGCTGCATTGTTTGTAAACAACACTCAAAACACGCGTTGCTACATGTATGAGGTTGATTGTCACTGTGTACGAGTTCATGTTAGAAAATAATTTACATGTACATGTATGTAGGCCTACAAGTGTTTTCGTGTAGGTGAGATCAAGGGATAATTACGTACATGTAACTGACATGTTGTACTTGTTGCAGAATGGACTGGACCAGGTTGAGGGTTGAAAGTTTGATATTTCATTTCAAGCCTCATGCCATTGCTCACGGAACGAACCACTTCAGCTCCCCGGTTCCCTTTAAGTTTGATGGTTGGAATTCACTCTTAGTGCCCATTAACTCAGCAACTGTGTGGAAAAGAAACTCAAGACTCCTGGGTGGAATGTTACCTGATCCTTTACTAAATCCATCTTAAATAAACCTTCCAACCGTCAACAAAGTCAGGTCAATCAATCACGTTAGCCCATAAGGCATTCTTGGGGTAATCTTACACAAATGACACCTTGGAAACTTAGACACCCTGTAAAAAAAACTCTTTGTTCAAATGTTCTGCCAAGACCATTTAAGTTTAAATTTAGTAAAAAGGAAAATAATGTTTGTTCAGTGAGGGAGGCACAATGTATGGGGATTAGGGAAAGTCAAAATGAACGAAATGTGCTAGAACTTACATGTAGTTGTCCACTATGTACATGTACTGTACATGTACATGTACATTTACACCGGTAGCAATTTATGAACATTTACGTTGCATGCGTGGCCTGTGGTGGGGGAAGCTTATCAGACTTGTACCCATTTACAAATGGACACAAATGGCAGGTGGAAGTAAAGGAGGTAGATGTAGTTTGTTCATTATGCTACCATATCCAAACATCTATAAAGGCACATGTATATTACACCGTACATGAAAAGTACCAATACATGATGTTTGAGCCTCAAAATAATTAGTGATTCACATGCATACATGTACATGTACTAACATGTTATACAATATACTGGTTCTCGTACATGTACAGTGCACTGCCTGTGAATCTGAGATACCGTAGGCCTACATGAACCTGTACATTGTATGTTCCCATTCTTGGCATTGTAAGGTAACATTGTACATTGATCCATGCTTGGATGAAATGAAAGCCAGTCCAGAGTTCCATCATTTACATGTACATTTCCAATGAATAGAATTCTTTGCATTTGGAATTTGGGGTGTTCATGTGCCAAAGGTCCCACCTTCTAACCTTTAGTGGTTCATTTTACTATAAACCATCCAAGTACCAGTAAGGCTTGGATTGCGTTACAGTAAAAACTCCAGTTACCGGTACATGTACATGTAATAGGGCAGTATTGACCCCTGATGGCACGCTTCCAGAACCCTTGGATAGGAAAAATACATGTTATATGCAAAGATTTGAAATGTTTTCGTTTGGTTACTTCTTAAAAAATCCAACTTAGAAAAGGGGCTTTGGAAAATATTTGCTAGTATATCAATTTATAGAAACTGAAAAATTACCTGATCTAAAAGAGAAATATTCTGCCAAAAATTGACCCATCACTTCTGAAAATCTAAAATACCCGTACATGAAGAGCAGTGCAATGAGGTACATGTAGTTTCATACGCAGATGAACAATGAACATTTACGGTTTAAAATTTTATGGTAGTCCATCGGTAAAAGCCGAAATAAAAACAGATCAAAATAGTTTACACACTTTTATAATTTAAAAGGTAATAAACTTAAAGCAGTACTCTACTTCATGAAAGATTCTAATATTTTATCTAACATTTGCTGACAACAACTGCATGATGTCAACTCAACAGAGTGTATCAGTAGAACCCATCCACTGCTGTTGTTGTGTTGGATTTATTTGATTTTAGGGGATTTTGATTTCTGTCAATAATGGTCGTGTACCATACATGTAACTCAGCATTACATGTACATGTAATTCGTACTGTACCAGTTACGTACATGTACATTAAAACGTACCAGTATAATGTGTAAAATCTTACTGTGAACTATATTCTTATACGTACCTGTATCGTACATGTATTCAATTTAAAATACAAAGGGGGAGGGAATCATTTCAAACTCTGTGTCCCATCTCCCTGCTGATCTCAAATGCTACCTTTCACTCATTCACGCATAGCGTTCATGGTGCTGCTGGATTGTTTATGCAGCTGCCCTCCAAAGGTCTGTACTAATTTGGCACAGCCACTGGTATTGATTACTTCATACATGAGATTCATTCGTGGAAATCTGTAGAAACCTCCAAAAAGAAAGTTGCATGATGTTGATTGTTGGGCTTTTGATAAAGAAGGCTAGTGTCCACATGCCTGTCAAAGAGTACATATGTACATGTAGCTGCACTGCATTGTTTTTTTGCATTGTTTATTTAGGCCTATGTACTCTTCAATGACTGTCTAACATCAACCTAATAATACATGTACATGTACATGTATGTACATGGGCAGTGGCAGACTTTGAGACGCTGGTTGTAGCAGGTCCTTTTTCAAGGTATTGTGCAAGTTCAGCAGAGCATGTACCGGTATGCTCAGAATAGTGCACGCATGTTCAGAACTGGTACAAAGCACTGGTAATCGCTATGTTTGTCACCACCAAGTGTTTCAAAGTCTCCCATTTCATTACGGATGTTACAATTTGTATGGAACTTTCAAGTGTCCATTGATAAACAATTAACTTGTGGTGAAAAAAACGAGTTTATTTGCTCTTATACATGTACATGTACATTGTGTACATGTTCCTCCAGCCTACCCTGTATATTCCCTCTAGCCTACCCTGTATTTTCCCCCTAGCCTACCCTGTATATTCAAGTGTTAAATAAACATGTACATGTACATGTATTAAAGAAACTTTGTTTTAGTTTCACTGATTTTTGACCTTCACAGTACATTTCAATAAAACTCGCTGGAGTTGTTTTCTTTACATGTAGCTTAGCTTTGTTACAGTTGGCCTGAGTCACATGTACATTGTGCCTGTATACAGGCATGAATTGAAAAGTTAGAAAATTATATAGTCCAATTTCGTTAATCAAAGCTGTTACAATGTACCTTACATACATGTACATGTAATGGTACAGAAATGCCATGTAGAAATACAATGTATACATGTAAAGAAAACATGTTAAGAATTTTCCATGTGGTATTGCTTTGATATTCACCCAAGATTCATTAAATTGAGGTGTACCCTTAACCAGCAATAGTGGAGAAAAAATTGTAAAATCAGCGCGAAACTTTGGCAGTCATGTCACAGTTGGTGTGGAATTGTCCACATTTACATGTAAATACTGTAGAATGATGACACAATTCATACAGTTCATTGTTGAACCTTACAATATAAAACAAAAATGACATTATTGACAAGAAAAAGGTGCATGATTAATTGTATTCATGAGCATTTGGCTGTGTTGTGCACATAAGACTGAATTCTAAAATCCTTAAACAACAGTTTTGTTAAACTGTTTGTTAAATACCATGCCAGGCCCTGTGTGCCATGTACTGTACGAATACATGTACATGTACATATGGGGTAAAAACCAACAAAACTGAAAATTTCAAATCGTTCGTCACTGCTTTGTTGTAGGATACAATAATCATTATTGAGTTGTGCAATTCGTTCATGTACATGTACAGCACATGTATGTACTTGTGCTCAGTGAAAATGGCACTGCATGGTACCGGTACATGTACATGTACATGTGTTGTATGGGACCTGCATACTGTATGTACGGTACAATGTACATGTATACATACATGTATACACGTATGTACATGTATACATACATGTACACGTACTTGCATGAAAACAGCATCCTTTCTTTAGCAAACAAAATATCAAGGACACAATGTTTTTTTCCTGAGAGAATTTCTTTATTGGCTGAGAAGTTGACCTGTCACATTATTACAGGTATTAGCAGCCTGGCATAATCAGATCAGGGAATAAATTGTGCCTGAATTATCCTGGCTTTAGTTGGTTTGAATTGGAATTAACAAGTCCATTATCTGCTTAAGTAGAAGATAATTTGAGTTCTTGTGCCTTGGTAACCATTGTAGTTGAAATTAGATACTTGGATGGATTTATAATTTGTGAAATGAAATTGATATTCACCGAGAGATTTGGCCAAGATCAAATTGCTACAGGGTAAATGTTCTATTCTCAATGCATGCATATCCAATATAAAGTGCAGAACTGATAATTTAGGATTTGGTAAGAGGATTCGTCGCAGATTGTGGTGTACATACGTACACTATGTACATGTACTCTGTACACGTATGTGTAAATGTACATTGTATGGGTTGTGGAACTGTGTTGTGGGGACTAACATCCCTAAAACATTTGGGTCCGCATAATGTCTACATTTCAACATGTGTGGTTCTTGTAATCCAATAAAAAGTACATGAGTTCATGTACACAATGTACATGTACATATACTTGTACACATGTACATGTAGATGTTTGATGTATGTATTCAGGGTGCTGTAACCAGAATGGAAGGCACAATATTTGAACATGTATAGTACAATACCGATTTACATTGCATGTGCATGTATGTTGTGAATATACAGTGTATGTGTGTGGGTACATATACTTGTAGGTACCCGTAAGGGGACATTTTGTTTTGTCATAAATCTCCCTGCAGGGACAGAAATTGTTCCTATTAGTGTTTTTAGACCCCATCACACCTGGATTTCAACAGGTTTGTATGTATGTGTGTTTTGGTTAAATGTATGCAATATGAATTTGTTGATTTCTTATTTTGCTGTGAATAGAGGGAACTAGACACAACTGCTACTGAGTTGGCAAGCAGACAAGATGAAAGTGACACATCAAGAAAACGACTGGTGGAACAGAGTAGGGAGTTCAAGAAAAATACTCCAGATGTAAGTGATTACTGCATGTACACGTAGTCCTATTCAGCTTCAATACAACAATGATGTCCTGTGGAAAATTACATACTGTTACATGTGCCAATAGGGGATGAATGGTTTATGAAACTTTATGGAAACTCACATACATGCAAAGTGATGTAAATTTAAAAGAAAAGAAACAGGTACCATATCTCTATAAAGAAAACAAAACTAAAAACAATTACGGTAAGTGACCCTCTCTAGAATCTTTCACTGTTGAGGACACAGATGTGCAGAGTTTTTTTGGAAGGATGCTGATACAGTGCTGGTTCAATTACAGCAAGTGTGATAAACTGCACACAGGTGTTGTGATTAATTGATTTCCTGCAGGATATTAGGAAGTCAGTGGCACCCCTCTTGAAGCTTTTCCAGTCAGAGATTGATGCATTGTCCAAACGTAGTAAGGCAGCTGAGGCCTCCTTCTTGTCTGTCTACAAGAAACTTATTGATTTGCCAGGTGAGTTTGATCCAGATGGTGCCAATAATCAAGTAAGTGTACGGGTCTTTGTGCAGTAAATGTCGGTAAGAGCTTGACATTAACTTAAAAATTAAAAATGCTTTGAGGAGATTAAATGCTCACGAATAACCTGTTCAGAAAAAGTAGCAAAAAGACAACTCTAGGTGTATTCCGGAATAACAAAATTAAGGGTTATGCCTGTTGCCTTGAAGGGGTGTTATTGGTACATGTACATACATGTACATGTAACAGGGACGGA